ACTCCTCTTGTTCCATTACAATTTACACACACAGATTGGGCCAAGTCGGTCCATGATCGACGATCTACCTCGGAATATTGCTCATTTGTATGAGGAAACATGGTCACGTGGAAAAGCGGGAATTTATGAAGCTCTCTAGTTACGCATCATGCTCCACGAACTACGTACGACTGTCTCCACTCCTCTACAATTGTTTTGTGATAACAAGGCTACCATTAGCATTGCACAAAACTTGGTCCAACATGATCACACTAAGCATGTTGAGATTGATCGTCACTTCATTAAAGAAAAGCTCGTGTTAGGAAAATTTTTTGTTCCGTTTGTGTTATCTAGTGGCCAACTACAGATATTCTCACAAAGAATCTTCCTCGACCACTATTTGATGATTTCAAATCTAAGTTGAAAATTAACATATATGCTTCAACTTGAGGGGAAGTATTAAAATATTAGAAATTTAAAATGTAGAATTTTGTCTTAATTACTTTGATTTGCTTTTATTTACTAACTTTTTCCCTTTTATTCTGTTTCTAGTTGTCGTCTTACTAGTAAATCCCGTAATGAGTATTTATACCCTTCTATATCAATAAGATTATCTTGGGTTATATTCTAACAAAGGTTTGTCAAGTGAATTAACTCAATAATTAGATGTTGGACCATGAACTGAAAATAAATACAGGGATTTATGGGCTAAGTGCAAAAAAATAAGATGCATGTAGCCGGAAATTATTATTCAAGTGATCGAGTGAATAATATTGATGAGCTAATAAAAAAGCATGTAGGTATATTAATTTGAGGATGATAATGATGGATAAGGGCAATGCAAACTACGATAGAAGCTAACTAGAGTATGATACACGAAATTCTTATTTTAGTGATAGATTGGATACTGTTGATGAGCTAGTAAGCAAACAAGTAGATACATTACTTCAAAGATAAGAATGCTAGATAAGGACAATGAAAGCTGAGATAAAAGCAATATAAGCTAACAACAGTAAAACAAATAATACGTGGAAGAAGAATATGAAAATGAAGAGAAGTATATTGGCTAAAAAATTTAAGAGTGAGTGAGGTTAATCGTTGTCTTGTTTCTTTTAAGTGAGAATTTAAATGAAAGTCATTTGTTAATATTCCTGTTATTGTTTGAAACGTTTAGCATAAGATCACTAGCTCTTTTATATTTTAATTTGAAATTACACATAATCAACAAGTTAGTGTAAAATTTTATATTATGTTATTGTATTTTAGCTATTTTTATATACTGCAGATGCTTGCAGATAAAAACGTGGGAAGAAATAAGAAAGTATTTTCTTTTGTTCATTCTTAGTTGATTTCTAACAAAATTTTGTGTCAGGAAATGGTTGTTTTCTTATAGTGATGATGATACTTTGATGATGACAAAATCAGGGTCAGTTGTGGAAACTTGAAAACCATGGTAAGACTTACCATGATGACCAAATTAAATTTTATTCAAAAAACACTCAAGTTTTCTACATCACCTAAAACTAGAAAATTCTCTTGCAATCATGATAGATAAGAATAGTTCTATTTTATTTTTTAACTTTGGTTTAGTTTTTATTTAATTGTCCTGATTTTAATCTTGATTTTATTCAAGTTAATTCACACAAAAGTCAGCTATGGAGACTATTTTGTTTCTTGGTTAGTGTTATTTGAAATTCTTTTAAGAAATTAGTAGTTGTTGGAGTGCTACCTCAATTTTGGGATGCAAGTTTGAGTGTAAAGTGGTCAAATTTGGATTTAATCGTAATAAAAAGAGGTATTTTTTTCTTCTTCGTGAAGAGCAATGTCCTGCTTGCATCTTGTGTGTAGTGGAATTCATGATATAGTTTTATGGAACAGTTTTATTTGCAGTAATACTATGCCACCAAAAGAGGTATTTTTTTCTTCTTCATGAAGAGCAATGTCCTGCTTGCATGTTGTGTGTAGTGGAATTCATGATATAGTTCTATGGAACAGTTTTATTTGCAGTAATACTATGCCACTAGTTTCAATGAGGCAGGATTTCTACTTGCTAGTTAATTTTTGACTTGAATAAGCCAATGCTGGCATATATTTTATTATCCTATTGTAACTAATATGACATATAAACTACATGTCATATTAGTTACAACAGAAAATCATTTTTGAGTTGTTCAGCATCACAGGTGTTTTTTATTGGCCACATTAAAGAGGTATAATTTATAGCTTAGTAAAACTTGGAACTTTATTTTTTGATGTTCAAATCAGGGAAACACTTGAATGGACAAAGCCAGTTGTGTTAGTTTTCAGTTCCAGAGAACTGATCAAGACTGGTGACAATGCTCATGAAAACTGATTTAAGCATGCACTAGAGAGATGAAAGAACATTGCAGTAATTGGATAGAGAAAACCAATAATCGTGTACTGAATGGAAACTTTCATTCGTAAATAAACTTGACAATAAGTTTCACCTTTTCAACCTCCATATATACATTTTTTAAGATAAAAGTAATGCATGAAAAAGATAAAAAAACAAAAAATAAAAAAGACCATTGTTCAGTTATAATCATGCAAATTTTCTAAGATCATATTCCCAAAATAAACCACAAGCGAGTGCCGAGCATGTTCAACGAAACATAAATTTATATAAGAAAATTAGTATAAAACAATAATCATAATCCCTAGTGCTTTGGTTGAAATTGAACTCCTGAATTGGTATGAATGCAAGCAGCATCCATGTTAAATTAAAGTTTCAACAACTGAATATGCTCCCTGAAAAAATTTAGTAAGAAAAAGTTTAGTCAAGTAAAAAATCTATTTACTTGGAATCTGTATCTCCTTCTTCGCCATGAACATGGTAATTGTTACTTGATAAAAATTCGAGCTACCTTTGAACTGCTAACCATACGGCTCAAGCATAACCGAATGAGCAGAGCGCCATTTTCTACCCGATAACTAAACAGCATTTCCCCTAAACTACTCAAGCCTCCCTCGGGACGGATCAGTCATCCACATCTTCTCTCAACAATGAGCTTGTTGCCTTAAACATGGGAGCTCCTACCATCCCACCCTCTCTAAAATTCCTCATATCCGATATCAAATTGATAGTGCATACCCAACTCTCCACCAAAAACTACCCAACAAGGAGGGCTCAGATCTTGAAACTCTTCACCGCATATGGCTTCGACGGATTCCTCGATGGAACAAACACTTGTCCCAGCAAAACAAGCACAGACGATGCAGGTGTCATCCATCCAAACCCACTCTACAATACATGGACGCTCATCAATCAGAATCTAGCCGCCGCCCTCTACTCAGCACTCTCAGCCTCCATATTACCTTACATTCTCAACCTTCCCACTTGTGCAGCTATCTGGCTTACCATTGAAAGACGCCTTCAAGCTTCCGAAAGATCCTGTGTGATGCAACTCAAAAATGAACTGCATCACAATACAATGATATACAGAAGTGTGACCCAATACCTCTCCGATATCAAGATCCTGGTCAACAAGGCACCGCAGAAAAGAAAATTGCATCCCATATTCACTTCTATGTAGTGAAGAGATAACATGTCTCCTCTGAAATTCTGGAGAACAGCAAGCAACTAACCAATTCGCTCAACCACAATCCCTTTTTCTCCAAACTGCAAGGAACAAACTGAATCCAATCCCAAGAGCTGCAGCTAACAGTCCCAGACATACAAAGAGAAACGTTGAACATCCACAATCTGCCAGATTTACGGCAAACAAGGCCACTCCGCCTTCAATTGTTGGCATCGCACCAACCTAAACTACCAGCCGAATTCTTCTACCACTCCATCGAAGGCTTTCCTAACAGCTCCTTCATCAAATTCCCAAGGATTGGTACCTGGAACTCTGGAGCAAAAGCCCATATCACCTTCAACATCAACCACATCCAGCAGTCCAATGCCTATAATGGTCCCGATCAAATGCTTCTAGAACGGCACCTATCTCCCCATCAAGGCTAAAGACTCCTTCCAAATCCTGACTGTAAGCTCACATTATCAAACATTCTCCATGCTCCTGTTATATCCCATAACTTACTCTCCGTCTTCAAACTTGCTTTAGAGAATAACTATTACATATCCTTCGATAAATTTACTTTCAAAATAAGGAACTGAGACCAATCAAGTTCTCCTCCAAGGACTATACTTGCCCACTCCTACTTCCTCCATCTACTAAGCTACCATGACCATTTACATCAACAGCAAACATCAATTCTTCACCGTCAACCAACCCTCCAGATAACTCAAATACATCTGAAACCTCTTTCCACTCATTAGAACCCCCTCAACTCAACCAATCCAAACCCATACTGCCAACTAAACATCACATGATCACGCGCTCGCAAATATGTTCCCTCAACCCAAGACATTTCTTCTACCTGCAAGCTTCCATCTCATCAACCAAAACCCACATGCTTCTACCATGCTCAAAAATTCCCTCACTGGAGGCAAGCCATGTCTCTTTAAATCAAAGCCTTTCAAAATCAAACCACCAAGATATTAGTTCCCCCTCCCACCCAACACAACATTCATGGCTGCCATTGTACTTACAAAATCAAGAAAAATGCCGACGGCTCCTTAGCCAAACAAAATTCCAGCTCATCGCACAAGGCTACAAACAGGAACCTGGAATCGACTACAATGAAAACTTCAGTCCCGTCGCAAAATGCCAACCATCAGAATACTTCTCACTATCGATCTCCACAACAACTAGGATATCCTTTAACTAGACATCTCAAATGCATTCTTACACAGCCAACTTAAAGACACCATCTATCCGAAGCAACCTCGGGCTTTGTGTATCCCCAACATTCCAATCATGCTTGTCTTCTATAAAATGCACTATACAGTCTCAAACAAGCTTCACAACTCTAGTTCAACACATTCTCCGATCGTTTAAGTCATTACAGTTTCAATTCAGTAAAGTTGATCCAAGCTTACTTATACCAAAAACAGTACACCACTCTTCATTCTCATTTACATTGATGGTATTCTCTTACAGGTAACAATAGAGCTGAATTCAACATCTTCTCTCCAACCTAGCACAACACTTAAACATGAAGACTCTCGACAACATCTTCTATTTCCTGGGGATCCAGGTCACCAAACCACATCAAAACTAACTTCTCACACAACCCAAACTTGTTGAAGCCATCCTATTCAAAGCAGGCATGTCCTCATGCAAACCCAAGTCCACACCCTTACCATCCCGAATACCCCTAGCATCCACATCCCATACACCCTTTCCAATCCATTACTAATGGCCAACTGATAAGTTCTCTGGAGTACCTAACCCTCAATCGCCCAAACCTTTCCTTTGTCGTGAATCACCTTAGCTAATGAATGCACCACCCCCTTGACCATCACTACCAACTTCTCAAACGTCTTCTATGCTACCTTGGTACACTACAGATCGGTCTCACTAATCTCTTTGGTAATCTTCATCTACACTACCACTCTGACGTTGACTAGGCCTCAGATTGCAACGATAACAAATTTATCACCAGTTATCGCTCTTACTTCGACAACACCCTCGTCTCATGGAGTGCTAATAAACAATCCATCGAAGCTATATCTTCCGCAGAAGCCGAATACAGAGCTTTGGCATTTGCAACCGTGGACATCCTATGGCTTCAACGTTTACTGTCTGATTTTCCAATCAACCTCCAACATTCCATTCCTCTCTACCATGACAACATTTCAGCAATGGCAATCGCAAACAACCAGTACTACACGCCCACACTAAACACATCAAAATAAACTATCAAATGATCTTCCAACACATTCACTCCGACCCTATTCAATTCTTATACTTAAGCTCCTAAGACCAACCGGCAGATATTGTCACCAAGTCTCTTCCTTATTCCAGATTTACTAGTCTCCGGGACAAACTTACACTACGTTCCGCATCATAAGTTTAAGAGGAGTTAATCATATGGCTCAAGCATAAGAGAATGAGCAGAGCTCCACTTCTACCTGTAACTAACTATACACCTGCTCCACTCCTCTCTAACCAATTCCGCCTCACAGCAGAATGTCTCCTACACACCTATAGATACATTTACAGTACACATATATTAAGTTTAGAATTTTAACAACTGAACATGCATTTTATGTTGAACTTAGATGCTTCCTGAAAATATATTTGTAAGAACAAGCTTAGCAAAGGAAGGAATCTATTTACATGGAATCTGTTATTTCATTTGTCACTATGAAGATGGCAATCAGTACCTGATAAAAAATTCAAGCTACCTTTAAACTTTACTTTCACTTCTGACATACTTTCATGAAATATCATCAGCTGCTTCACCTCTTATCAAGAATCCAGCCAAAATCTAATCCAAGGCATATTGCATAGAGATCCTCTCCACAGTATCCTGGCATACAACATTCTTGGCATATAGCTCCTTTAAGACATCTCCAGCCAAATCTGATTCATCTTCATGAGCAATCCCTTCAACTAAGATTATATATGTCATTTCATTTGGCACATAACCCTTCTCAATCATTGAAACAAAAACATCAATTGAAAGATCTGTCCTCTCAGCCTTGCACAATCCAAGTATGAGCGCATTATAATTCTCAATATCAGGTTTGAAATCATTTTCCTCCATAACATCAAAAATCTCAAGCGCCTCATCTAACATCCCTTCCATACAAAGGCCTCGAATCAAGGACGAATTGGTGTATGAATCAGGAGTAAAACTGCTCTTTGTCATCTCATTCAGAAGTTGAAATGCTGCATATGTGTTCCCCTTCTTACACAAGAATGATATGATATTCCTGTAGAAATCATGCATGGAAGTTTTCTCCTTATTCCCCAAGCTCTTAACAATAGAGAACGCCTCTTCTACCATTCCTTCCTCGCACAATATTGCAATTGCATTATAAGTTCCTTCATTAGGAGAACAATACCTTTGTGTCATCATATCAAGGCACTTATGCACCATATACAACTTACCATCCTTACAATACCTTGAAATTATTGGATTAAAGCTAGAAGCCACAGGCTTAAAGCCATTCCCTATCATCTCATTCAAAATTTCGAGAGCTTGTTCGGTCCGGCCATCGTATGCCAATGCGCCAATCAATATGTTATAGGTGATAACTGTTGGAAAACAATTATTATCACCCATTTCAGCCAAAAGCTTCTCAGCCTCCTTCCAGTGTCCCTCATAGCACAAACTTCTCAGCAAAATGTTGTAACTTACAACATTAGGTTCAAAGCCTTTGGAGGGCAAATCTCTAAAATATTTCATTGCTTCATCAAATCTACCTTCCTTGCAAAACCCAGTCAACAGAACATTGTAACTAACCAAGTTAGGCTTTCCACCCTTCTCAATGATCTCATCCAAAAGCTTCACAGCCTCATCAACCCCTCTTTCCTTGTAAGCGGCTTCAAGCAAGAAAGAGTATGTGTATGCATTTGGTGCCAGCCCCCTCTGAATCAATCTCTCCATCAGCTGCAAGCTCAGCTGTAATTTTCCATGCATGCACAGTCCTCTTATAAGTGAATTGTAAGTAATGGTGGTCGGTGGGCATCCATAACCTTCCATTTTATCAACCAACTGCATTGCATACCCAACATTCCCCCTCTTGCACAGCTGATTGACCAAAAATGTAAATGTGGGAGAATCAGGAGTCTTTCCTGCACTAACCATGACTTCCATAACCCTAACGGCTTTTCGTATCTTGTTAATTTTGCAGAAATCATACAGCAAGTTGGTAGCTTGAGTTGCATCAGGCTTGTGACCCCTTCCAACCATGTGCTCTAAGTAAAGGAAGGCATCATGGAGCCTATGCTCTTTGCTTTTGAGATCACACTTTCCATTTTTCCAGCTGGGTAAGGTGAAAGCTGCCTCCTTTTGAGGGAGAGTGAGATTGGCAAACACAAAAACCCTAGAAAAATCCTTTCTGAGGTGGGAAACGTGAGGGTTCTGCTGGTTAGTGTAGAGGAGGAATTTACCATTC